CCCTGCTGCCTTACACATGCGTATACCAGCCAGCAGGGCCTCATACTCCGCCTCATTGTTTAAGGCTTGGAACTTAAATGGTAGTGCATATTCATATTTATCATCTTCTGGAGAATGACAGATTATACCTACACCACAACCGTTCATAGTAGAGCTTCCGTCTACAAATAACTTCCAAACCTGATCCGGTTTTTCTGGCTGTATCGGCCTAGTCATTTCGACAATGAAGTCGACAAACGCCTGACCTTTCACTGCCCGCATGGGTTCGAAAGTTATTTCCAGGCTTTGTATTTCAACAACCCATTTGATCATTCTGTCGGATGACTCTATTGTAGTCATTGGCCGCTTGAGTGGGTGATCAGTATACACAATCACCGGATGTGCCAAGAAGTAAGGCTTCAACCGCCTGACTGCTTTGTAAAGAGCCAGTCCAAATTTTTCAATCATTGGGTACCAGAGTTCAACATTTCTGAGAACGTCGCTGATAAAGTACACCGAGAGATGATTATCGTCTCTCTCAGCAAGGAGAACAGCACTGAGGGAGTGATCCGAGACGGCTAGGTACATGTAGAGAAACTCTTGGGGCAGGGGGCTCATTAGCCTTGGCAAAGAGTGCAGATGTTGTTTTAGCCTCTGAAATGTTGCCTCAGCCTCTTCACCCCACTCGAATCTTGACCTCTTCATGATTGCTTGGAAGAAATAGAGGCATTTGTCGCCTGACCGGCTGAGGAACCTCCCCAATGCTGTTAGGCAACTGGTAAGTTTCTAGACTTCTCTGACAGTGCGGGGTGACTACATGTCAATAACCGCCTATAATTTTTCCGGATTAGCCTCTATACCTCTTTGATCAATCAGAAATCCGAGAAACTTCCCAGACTCAACACCAAAGACACACTTCTTGGGGTTAAGCATGACCTTGTGTCACCTGAGGGTGGTGAAGGTTTCTCGGAGGTCAGCCAGGTGATCCGTCTGTAGCTTGGATTTGACTATCATGTCATGCTCAATCCCAAGAAGTGTGTTTTTGGAGTTGAGTCTGGGAAGTTTCTCGGATTTCTTATCAATCAAAGGGGTATAGAGGCTAACCCCGAGAAGGTACAAGCGGTCATAGACATTAACAGGTTGTCTGGCGGCCTTGAGGAGATTTCTCAGCCGGGCAGGCGACAAGTGCCTCTACTTCTTTCAGGCAATAAAAAAGAAAGCTATGTTTGAATGGGGGTTGGATGCTGAGGCGGCCTACCAAAAGCTGAAAGAACACTTGCACTCTTTACCAAGGCTGATCAGCCCTTTGCCCAAAGAAGTACTCTATATGTATCTAGCAGTGTCAGACCATGCTCTAAGTGTCGTCCTCCTTGCTGAGAGGGACGGCTGTCAGCTCCTGGTCTATTTTGTCAGTCACGTCTTGAAGAATGCTGAGTTAAGATACCCCCTGGTTGAAAATTTTGGCCTTGCCCTCTTCATGGCAGTTAGAAAGTTGAAGCCCTATTTTTTGGCGCATCTAGTCGTGGTATACACAGACTAGCCGATCAAGCGGCCTCTAACAACCATGGAGTCGTCAGGCCGAATGATCAAATGGGCGATAGAGATACAGAGCCTTGAAATCACATTCGAGCCAAGAAAAGTAGTGAAGGGGTAAGCATTTGCTGACTTCATAATAGAAATGACTCGACCTTCTAATTCTAAAATTTTAGACCAAGTCTGGAAGGTCTATGTAGTCGGGGAGCTCCACTATGAATGGTTGTGGTGCATGAGTCATATGTCAGTCGCCCGAAGGTGACAGGTATGAGTATGCACTATGATTCAACTTCCAAGCCTCGAACAACGAGGCAGAGTATGAAGCTCTACTGGACGGTATCCGCATGTGCAAGGCGGCTGGGGTAAGGAAGATAGCCGCCTGTTCGGACTCACGGTTGATAGTAAGCCAATATAATGGTGATTATGAAGCCATCCATCCGGCCATGATTAAATATTTACAAGCGGTAAGACAGGCGGCTGGATCACTTGAGAAATTTCATCTTACTCAAGTACCCAGGTCCGAGAATAAGCAGGCGGACACCCTCTCTAAACTGGCATCCTCGGCCTCCTGTGACACTCCAAGGACCGTTTTCTGGGAAGTTATGGAGAAACGAAGCATTGAGGAGGAAACTATTGGAATCCTTGATAAAAGCTCAACTTGGATGGATGACATCCGAGCCTATTTAACAACCAACACCTTGCCGAGTGATCACTCCCAGGCGGCCCTACTGAAAAAACGGGCGTCCAACTTTGAGATATGTAAGGGGGAACTCTTTAAGAAAGGGTATCTTCAGCCCCTCCTGAAATGTGTTACCCCAGTAAAAGGACGAGAGGTCTTAGAAGATCTACACTCGGGGTACTGCGCTTCTCACGTAGGCGGCAGGTCGCTTGCTCAAAGAGCAAGGCGACAAGGTTACTTCTTGCCTACCTTGGAAGATGACGCCATGGAAATGGTTAAAAAATGTGACAAATGCCAAAGGTTCGGCAAGTTAATCCATCGTCCGGCCACAGACCTCACGGCCATCCATAGTCCTATACCATTCGCTAAGTAGGGCATGTATATCCTAGGTCCCTATACGCCTGCAACAGGTGGCAGGAGGTACATACTAGTTGCAGTCGACTACTTCACCAAGTGGGTGGAGGCAAAGGCAGTTAAGGGTATCAAGACTAAAGACGTGATCTCCTTCATATGGAAAAATATCATCACTCGATTTGGGGTACCCATGTAATGTTTTTGATAATGGTCCCCAGTTTGAGACGCCTGTTCTCAAAAACTGGCTGGGAGACCAAGGTGTCTCTCACTGCTTTGCACCAGTCGGCCGACCACAAGAAAACGACCTAGTGGAAGCTTTCAATAAAATCATCTCAGACGGTATCAAAAAGAAGATTGAAAGAGCAGGCGGCCTATGGGCAGATGAGCTACCGCATGTTCTCTGGGCCATCAGGACGACTGAAAAGGGGCAATTAGAGAAACTCCATTCCTCCTAACTTATGGGGCAGAAGTTGTTCTACCAATTGAACACTACGAGCCGACTCTTCATATAATGCTGTATAACGAGGAAGCAAATTGGGAGTTCATGCGCCTGGCACTGGATTCACTCCCAGAACGTAGGGGCAATGCAGCCCTACGCCATGAAGTCTACCGCCTGAGGATGACAAGGGCATATAACAAAAGGGTACACAGGCATCCACTCAAAGTGGGAGACTTTGTACTACGGAAGATGGAAGCAGTCGGTAGGGCCAATGAGTTAGGCAAATAAACTCCCAACTGGAAGGTACCCTACCGAATCTATGAAGAGGTTAGGGACGACACCTACCGCCTGGAAACACCAAACGGTCGACCCCTGCCTAGAACTGGAATGTAGATAATTTGAAGAAGTATTATTTTTGAATGATGTAATTGCCGAGAGCTACTAATAAAACTTGCAAATTTGCTACATTTATATATGTTATAAACAGAGGGGCAAGCCGCCTGCTCAAATAGCAGACGGCTACTCTCCATTTTTTACCAACTGAGGGGCACGCCGACTGGTCAAGCAGACGGCTACTCTCCATGATCAGCCCAGGCACCTAGCCTCCTGATCATGCTCTGAATTTTAAACTAATACGACCTGTCCCAACATCATAGCAAGCGTCCGGCGACATCCTTCAGGATGAGATTCGTCGCAGAGAACAACTCCCTTTTGGGTGGAATAATGCTCTATAAACTAAGTACACGACACCTAAACGGTTGTCCCCAAGGACAACCACGTAGCCGTTTTGAGACAAGGATAACTCTAACACTAACAAGAAAGTGCTAGCAGTTAACATTCGAGTCGGATGACCACCTGTATTACTTGGGATAAGTACAGGGGGTACCTTTTGAGTTAATAGCCAACAAAAATTGGCGAATCAAGGGGATCAGCCGGCCTCCGCCGCTTGGTACCTCTACTACTCAAGAAGGAGTGACGGCGACTGAGTAAACCCAAGGTTAACTCATGCTCACTCTCTCATACTTAGTATGGAATCTAAAAAGTTCGAGAGTCGACTGTTTTTTGGCAAACAGGAACTCTCAAACCAATACTCCTACTAGGTGAACACCCTTTGAGTAAATAGCCAAGCAACACTTGACGAATCAAGGGGACCATCCGGCCTCCGTCGCCTGGTTACTCTACTACTCAAACAAAAGAGGCGGCGTTTGGTAAACCCGCGTGGGTAACCAGTCGTTCCCCCAGGTATGGAACCAAAAAGTTCGAGAGTCGACTGTTTTTTGGCAAACAGGGGCCCTAGAACACTATTCCTACTTGATCAAACTAGAATTACATGTGGTTATATCCATAGACACAATTAATTCAAATAGGCGGCTCGATAACAAGCAGCCTGCTCCCTTCAAACTTGGTAAAGAAATCAAAACAGAAAACAGGCGTCCAACCACCTAGGTAACGCCCAAACAAAGAATCCGACCTAAGTTAAGGCAAGCTTAATATAGTTGAACTAATCGGCACCAAGCCACTACGACTAATAAGGCGGCCCATAAATATTAATTTACAAAGCAAAGGTTAGAAGACCTAATGTATTGAAAATGCGTTGGGGTCCGACTGGGTTCATGGCCGACTAGTCGTCAATTTTGGAACAAAGACAACAAGTCGCCCAGGGGCATAAGCAGTCGGCACCATGAGTAGTCGGCACCTGATAAACCTCCATCCTAGCCTACTATACATCGCAAAAATTTTATCAAAATTTTATCATTTCAAGACAAACAAATAACAAGCTAATACAGTCGGTGTAGCATTCAAGCGGATATCAAGGATCCTCTATACTTGACAAAATAAGCATAAACAAGATGGAGAATCATTGATCAAAGATGACCGAATAGTCGCCAAATTAATATTAACAGCCGACCATAAAAACCGGCAAAATAGTCATAAACCCTGGCCCTCTGGCCGGGTAAAGATGATACAAGAACAAACGGCACACAGGCCGGTGAAAAGTTTGAAGAATAAAAAGATCTAAAAATTAGGAGGGGCTTCGATCTCAACTGCCGGCTGATCGAGCTTAATTATGGGCGCTTGATCCTTCAAGGCATCCTCTTTGTTTGGCTCGTTTTCAGGGGCAGTATCCTTAGAAGCATCCGCCTCCGTTGGCTGGTCTGCCATCTCCTCTTCCTCCTCGTCTGCGCTGGAGCTGGCCGCCTCCTCCTCTCTTTCATCCTCTTCAACCGCCTGCTGCATGATTTTTCTATTGTACTCTTCAGTATAGGCGGTGAACTTGGAATCCCATTGGGCATAGTCAGATTTTGGGAAGAGGGTCGACCAGGTCATCTTCATAATATTGGCTGAGTCCTCCATCATGGCCTGAGCTAAAGCCAGCTTCTCGGTCTCAGCCTTGGCCTTAAGCTCTTGAGTGATGGCAGCCTCCTGCTTCTCTAAGCGCTCCTTAACCTTATCTAAAGACTTCTGGAGACCTTCAGCTTTATGGGCAATATTCTTAAGTGGCTGCAATATGTCCCGGAGGCTTTTAACCGTCTTCTCCAGCTCTTGGTTCTGTTTTTTAGCCGCCTCCAACTCGTCTTTGATCTCCGAAGTGGCAGCCGCCTGATAATAAAGAATATCAGTTGTCAAAAGTTCATTTTGGGCAATTTGAAACATTGCCTTGTCAAAGTCAGAGGCGGCCATGGCTTTGGCAGCTTTTACCTCTTTGTTTTTGGCACTAATTGGCCTACGGAGGCCGTGTACACGAAGCATAGTCTGAAAAAGAACAACAGGCGTCAGATTTGCAAAAAATAGGCGGCAGGCAAAGTCACTCAACATTTCAAAAATGCTAAGTCTACCGCGGAGAGGAGACCCATGATTCCGTCAAGGTCAAGGGTTCCGACTCCCCTGAACGCATCCCTCTCCTCTAGAGGGATGGCTTTCACCATAGACTTGGCCATTTGGACCAAGTCTGGTTCTTGATGGCCACCTGTATTTAGAAACAAAAAGTTAGAACAAAAGAAAAATATCGAAGAAAGAAATTAAACAAGGGCGGAGGGAGCCGGTTATACCTCTTGGAGGCCGGCTGTCCCTTGGGACTTGCGCCCCTTTATCCCCACTTTGTGGGGGTGCGCGACTGTTTTTCAACTGCCTGCTTCCTGGAGGGGCCAGACGTACTCCCAGCTGTCTGTTTCCGAACCTTTGTGTCCGGGTGCTGGGAGGAAGAGGATTTGGATGAGCCCGCCTGCAAAAACACAGAAAGTTAATACTGGCAAAAAGAGGATTTCAAGGAAAAACTCGAAAGATCAGAACTCACATTGGGCGCCTCCTTGGCAGGAGAATCAGATGATGGCCGCTTAAGGCTCATAATGGAGGTCCGCAGAAGGGCGGCCGCCTTCTTGGATGCGGAAATATGGTCCATAGCTTTGGCTGCAAATAGGCATATCAAAGAGTTAGAAAAGCTTAAAATAAATCAAATGATGCATATAGAAGCATAAGGGGCCGGCTACCTCTGGGGGCCCGACTGCTTAGGCCACAGGCAGCTTAAAAATACTCGTCGTAAAACCATTTAAATTTGGGGACGCAGTTCAAAGGCACCTACTCCCGTACCCTGGTAGTAGAGTTGGCCCTAATCTCTACTTTGAAGAGTCCTCGGTCAAGGATCTCTTCCCTTGCTTGACGAGGAATAGGCGGCATGCTAGGGCTTCCTACAAGAAGAGGCGGATCCTTATTCCACCTGTTGTATCGCTTGTTCAGAAGTTTATTGGGACTGGTTACGAGGAAAAAAGTGTTTCTCCAATCTTTCCACTTATTTTCCTTCCCCCTAGTTATCAAATAGCCCTTGTGGCTTGTTATTTGGTACCAGCCGGTACCTCTCGCTTTGGGGGTCTGGGTTAAATAATTCATACGGGTGAACGCCTCGAAATTGGGGTCCACCCCATGCATTTCACATCCGGCTACATAGCCAAGGATGTTGAACCAAGAATTTGGAGCTAACTGCCAAAGCCCTACCTCGTACCCATCGAGGATTTGTTGAACTGCCGGATGCAGGGGAAATCGGAGTCCAGCCACTACACGAAAAGAGCAAATTGGCAACGGTTCAAACCCCCCCAAAGGCAACGGTTTTGAACCGTTGCGTATTTGAGGGTTGCCAAATCCCAAAATAATTGGCAACGGTTCAAAACCGTTGCCAACTCAAGCAATTGGAAACGGTTAACCGTTGTCATTGACCATGACGCCCTTTTTTTTTTTTTGTTTTTAAAAATAATTGGCAACGGTTAACCGTTGTCAATTGCTTGAGTTGGCAACGGTTAACCGTTGCCAAAGAGAATGGCGCGCTTTTTTTTTTTTAAAAATATTGGCAACGGTTATTGACCTGTATCCTTTTTTTTTTTTTGGCTACACTAATATTGACCTGTTTTTTTTTTTTTTTGCTGCAATATTATTAATATTATAATATTAATATTAATAATAATAATTATAATTATTATTATTATAATATCAATAATAATAATAATAATTATTAATATTATAATAGTAATAATATTAATAATTATTATGATAATAGTATCAATAATTAGTATTATTAATAACAAAACATAAATAATTAATAATAACAATCGCAAGAGATGATATAAATTAGAAAAATGTTTCATGTATAGTACATAATTAGTGAGTTAAGGCTAGGATTGATGAAGAGATGATATAGTACAAAAATGTTTCACGATATTTACAAATTAAATGTGATGTAGGTCGCCAACATCTCCCGAATTACATGGAGTTCCTCGCTCGTGTATGGCTGTCCCGTTTGCCCCTTGCAAAGAATACACAAAACGTGAGTTAGTAGAAGTGAATTAATAATAATTGGGGTTAGTTACATGTGACTAATGCTTGAGATTACAAGAAAAGAGCAAGTAAGAGGTTTTGGGACGCAATTTCAACCAAAATGGCTCAAGTAAGGCCATTTTGGCTACTATGATGCCTATTTTCTATAATTCTTGTCTATTGAACTCATAACTAGTTAAAACATGTCATAATCACTTAGTTATAGGTGCCTAATGCTTGAGATTACAAGAAAAGAGCAAGTAAGTGGTTTTGGGACGCAACTTCAACCAAAATGGCATACCTCTTCAAGCTGACATGTGTCTGTACAATGACTCATCACTATGTCATACATGAATCTCATCACGTATAGGCCACAATCAACTCCGTTTTCCTGTTGTGCGCACTAGCATGAGGAAAAAAGCACATGAATCAAAATGCATAGCAAATAAGCAACATCTTAAGCATTGTAAAGTAAGAAAATCACAACATCATGGGTGAATTACCTTGGGTGCTTTCCATGTAGGACCTCGAGGAGATCGAGGATTTATCTTCTTCATGGTACTACAAAAAATCAAAGTAATAAGTTCAAATTTGACTAGTATAATCAATACATATGAGTTAAGATATGAAAATGAATAACAAGAAGTGAAACAAACTAGATGCTTACTTTTGCAGTAATGGACCTCACGAGGCGCTTTCTTACTTGAGGTAACCGAGCAGAATCAAAGTAGAAGATTGTGTTACTGGAAACACAAATCACAAGTAGGGTCCAATGATAACTACACACGAGACAAACAAATCAATAGTTAGCCTATGTTTGCTCCTGGAGTGCTCTGCATGCATGATAACACAATGTTAATCAAAAACCAAACGAAAAATACCACTAAACTGAATAATACAAATTGAGTACCGGTTGAATTACCTCATGGATATTTGAATGAGGGAAATGTTAAGCATTGCACCACTTAGAAATTCCTTCACATCTTCTTTGAATAGCCATGCTGTTGCATCATCATCATAGTGGAACATTTCCTTAGGAAGTTAGATTTGGATGGGGCTGTCATTAGGCAACACGCAAACACGGTTGTGCAAATAAGCTAACTCCTGAGATAGCGATTGAAGCACCGTGTCTTCAACTAATGGAGTAGCTTGCGTAGTTGAACCTCGTGAAGGGCTCTTCATCGACGCTTTTCAACTCACCGAGCCATGTTCACTCCTGTTCTTTGACCCCTCCACCCTCTTCTTTGGAGTTTGGCTTTTTTTCGATGGCTAATAAGAAAAATCACACAAATGGTTAGAAAAGATTTCCATCCAACTCTTGCGAAGAAAAGATTAAATTGTGAAATCTAAATCTTAATTACCTGGTTCATCAACCGTATCCAAGAAGATGTCCATTGCACAAAACTACCTTTTGCTGCCCAGAGTGTAGTGAACTCATCCTCCTCCACGGGCAGAGGTATTAAGATGTCCTCGAACCCGTGAACCACAGAATGGATCCCGACAGAATAATGCTCAGGCAAAAGAGGTCGAAGATGGACCGTACCTTGTTCGGCCGGTTGTGCACTACCATAGGCAACAACATTCAAAGGTCCATCATATGATTCGCCCGGGTGAAGAAGTTCACAATGGGTCTCTTCCTGCACCAATTAGGAAGATACTTCATTTAAATATTCATAACTAAGTATCTTAGGTGTAATATAGGAGTTAATTCAAGCATTGAGCTAAAATCATGAAAAATGGGCAAGTTAGAACTCATTTAGGCCATTTTGAACCGTAAATACTCTAAATGAACCTAAAACTTGTAAATTTGCTTTTTTTATATTGTTTCAAGCCATAAATATTCATAACTAAGTATCTTAGGTGTAATCTAGGAGTTAATTCAAGCATTGAGCTAAAATCATGAAAAATGGGCAAGTTAGAACTCATTTAGGCCATTTTGAACCGTAAATACTCTAAATGAACCTAAAACTTGTAAATTTGATTTTTTTATATTGTTTCAAGCCATAAATATTCATAACTAAGTATCTTAGGTGTAATCTAGGAGTTAATTCAAGCATTGAGCTAAAATCATGAAAAATGGGCAAGTTAGAACTCATTTAGGCCATTTTGAACCGTAAATACTCTAAATGAACCTAAAACTTGTGAAATTGGTTTTTTTATGTTGTTTCAAGCCATAAATATTCATAACTAAGTATCTTAGGTGTAATATAGGAGTTAATTCAAGCATTAAGCTAAAATCATGAAAAATGGGCAAGTTAGAACTCATTTAGGCCATGTTGAACCGTAAATACTCTAAATGAACCTAAAACTTTTAAATTTGCTTTTTTTATATTGTTTCAAGCCATAAATATTCATAACTAAGTATATTAGGTGTAATATAGGAGTTAATTCAAGCATTGAGCTAAAATCATGAAAAATGGGCAAGTTAGAACTCATTTTGCCCATTTTGAACCGTAAACACTTTAAATGAACCTAAAACTTGTGAAATTGCGTTTTTTATGTTGTTTCAAGCCATAAATATTCATAACTAAGTATCTTAGGTGTAATATTTGAGTTAATTCAAGCATTGAGCTAAAATCATGAAAAATGGGCAAGTTAGAACTCATTTTGCCCATTTTGAACCGTAAACACTTTAAATGAACCTAAAACTTGTGAAATTGCTTTTTTTATGTTGTTTCAAGCCATAAATATTCATAACTAAGTATCTTAGGTGCAAAAAAAAAGAAAAAAAAAACCAAAACGAGTGCAAAAAAAAAAAAAAAAAAAAACTGGGCGGGAAGGTCAGCGTGTGCACAGCGAGGAGGCTGCACAGCTGCTGTAGTGCAGCTGCAGCCTCCTCGCGTGATACCCAATGAGAAAGAGAATGAGAAGGAGAAGGAGAAAGAGAAGGAGAAGGAGAAGAAAGAGAAGGAGGACGAGGAGAAGGAGAAGTAGGAGGAGAATGAGGAGAAGGAGAAGGAGAAAGAGAAGGAGAAGGAGAAGAAAGAGAAGGAGGAGGAGGAGGAGAAGGAGAAGGAGAAGGAAGAGAAAACAACAACAATAGATCACATCAACAAAGCAACACCAACAACACAACACAGCGAAGAAACACCATTTCATAACACAATCCAAAAACCAATATCATTATCCAAACAAGTAAGTAAAAAATCACCTGTAGAATAGGAAAGTGATGAGGTGTCGGAGTATCAAGCCCCCTTGAGTTCGCATGTGAAGGAGTACCAATCTGCAATAGTGTATTGATAGTGAAACATTAATTAGAACCGCACCCACGTAACTCAACATATCAAAATTTATAGAGTTGAATTCTAATCATGTACCTCCTCGCGTGCATTTATCTCCTGTTCTCCTTCTCTTCGTGGGTGGCTACTTGAGTCGGCCGGTGTTGTCGAGGAAAAGGGCAAGGTCGGCAAATTCATTTGCTTCACCCATGCATTGAACTCTTCGCGCATCTCATTGCGCACTTGTTCTTTAATTGATGCCACTGTGGCATCGAAGTTCTGTGGCGAGTTCACACTTGCTCGGGATCTTCCAGATTTGGTATATTTGGGACCCATTACCTTCTCCCATCCTAGCAAGCTCCCCTTAGCACCTAATACCCGTCCCGGATGGTAGGGCTTTCCCATAGCCAAGGTGAAGGGGTCCTTCACTACCGTCGGGACGAGCTTGCCTTCAACAAGCTCTCCAGTGTACTCAAGCTGTAGCAAAAACAAAATGGCAACATGAGGTAAGTGTTTATATAAAGTGATATACATGCAAATTAATAATGTAGTTCACTAGTTCATAGTTGCTTACTAGCTTATCTGTCATTTCTTTGGTTTCCGGAGCCTTGATGGACCATTTTCCGGTTTTCTTGTCCCGCGAATGCATAGAGCAAAAGAAATCCCAAGCACGACTCACCAAAGTACTGGTCATGGAGTTAGACGGCGCTGTGGAGGACCCTAGAAGCGCAGTGGGGTATACTCCTTCACTCACCCACGTATCCCTCCATTCATCATACGTCATTGCTCCCATATGATGGTGGTATTGCTTTTGCAATGCATTCTTGGAATTCTGCTCCCTCATTTCCTACATAAAAAGACATGTTAGTTTCATTTCTAATAAAAAAGACGATAAATTACAACACAATTTTCATCAGAGTTCTTTAAACTTACAATTTCTTCTCTTTTACATTTTTGAAGAACGAAAGCTTCCCAATCATCCTTCGATATGCTAGGCCATATTTGCCATGGGAGTTTCTCTTCATCGATGACATCATCATCACTGCCACCTCCTTTCTTGTTCTTTGGTTTCCTCACAAGTTTCTTTGTGATAAACCGACGAACTAAGTTACACTTGAAGCTTCTGAATCTTGCTGCAAGTAAGGATTCAAACACCCTTTGCATGGCGTACTCATTTGGAATGTTAAATAGACTCTGCAAGCGCAAATAACAAACATTATTAGTTTGCCCATAACATAACAATAAATTGAAATTGTTTATAGATAATGTGGATTCCATAAAACTTACCCTGATATCATTCCAAAACGTGTCAATCAAGCCTGTAGGTACGTCGCTCATACGAAGCGTAATGGGGACTTTGCGCACACAAATCCCAACTTGACCAGCATACTGACGACGCCATTTACCTTGAGGGTTGCCCTACCCTGTCATATTCCAAGACCATAGGACTGACAGGTTTCTTGAAAGCTGTCGTCGGACCCCTCTGCTTTTTCTTCGCTGGTGCCTGCACCCCCCTCCACTTTGATCCTCACGAAACGGCTCCATAATGGCATTATCGATTGGAGGCGCTTGTTCAGCTGCAATTTCAAACTTATCTATCATTCTCTCCAATACATCTTGCGCCTGATCTTCTGGCTCACCCAAATCAGGTTCCTTGTTCACATCATACAGCTGGTCCCCATCATTAGATGAATCATCATCATTAGATTCAACATCCTCAACTCGAACACGGTATTGATCGTCCACCATTAGATGTTAAAACCTGTCATTACAAACATAACACGTTATTAGCTGCTGAATTGTAAGGTAAACTTATAATCATATATAAATTGCTGAATTATAATACAAATAAACATAGAAAATGGTGATGCAAGTTACTTTATTCATTTAAAAGAATATAAGAAAAATGGGCAAGTAATTCAACACTTTCATTCATTTTCACCTAAAATGTGATTTTTTAATTCTTTCTACGCCTGCAATTCAAACTAACAAAAATTATACAGTACCTCAATCTAATATTCCTTCATCGTGGTCTGATCTCATGTAATTAGCTTGGTCGTCTATCTCATTTGGCACAACAGGTCTAGGAACAGTGAAAGGTGCCGAGTCATCAAAGGCATCATATTCTTCCTCATCCTCGACATCTTCAACGCCAAGGATTCTTCTTTTGCCGGCTAGCACAATAGACCATTTTGAGTCGGCAGGGTCAGATACGTAAAACACCTGCTTAGCTTGAGATGCAAGGATGAATGGTTCCGCACTATCATTCAGGTTGCCAAGATCTACAAGAGTAAAGTCATCAAATTTGACGTTACGCATGATATTATCAACCCACTTACACCGGAAAAGAGCAATCGTGAAGTCACAATAATCAAGCTCCCATATTTCTTGAATTCGACTGTAGTATGACAACTCTGCATCAACGGGTGATTTATCCTTAGCTCTTGCAAACTCCCTTGATGATGCCACAACCGTTACACCACTGTTTTGGGTCGAGGAAGATTTCAAATCTTGACGCTCAGTCCAAAATGTCTACCCATTTATGTCATATCCCTCAAATGAGCGAACATCATCCCTAGGACCATAAGCAAGCCACCTTACTGTAGCTGTGACACTCTCATCCATTCTACCCATCACTCGATCACGAAACCAACTCACAAACTTCTTATTGTGCAACTGCATCAGTGCCTTTCACCTTTCGATGGAAACTCATCACGCAAACTAGCCATGTGCTCGTCTAAATATGGGTGAACATCTGCAACATGGTGCAACACATAAAGGTGTGCTTGTAAGAACTTCTCTCGATCAGGTGACATTCGTTTCGACCATCAAGTCTACCTTCATGTCGAGAAGTAGGAATACCAATAGGTTTAGCAACGGCTACATAGTTGGCCACAAAATTACCAATCTCCTCGGCCACGGTCCCTTGAATCATACTTCCTTCCGGGTGAACCCGATTCCTAACTTTATCTTGCAATGTACCCATGTGTCTTTCAAAAGGATAGCACCACCTCATGAACACTGGACCGCACAACTTATTCTCACGCACCAAATGAAGAATCAAATGCACCATTATGTCGAAAAACGAGGGCGGGAAGTACATCTCAAATTTGCACAAAGTCACAACCACATCCGCCTGTAAAGCATCAAGTGTACAAGGATCAAGCACTTTGCTACATATTGTATTGAAAAACGAACAGAGGCTTGTAATAGCTTCCCTCACGTGCTTTGGCAAAATACCACGTATTGCAATTGGTAGAAAAACTTGCATCAGAACTTGACAATCATGGGATTTCATACTTGTCAGCTTCAATTTTCCATTTAAGGATACAAATCTTTTCATGTTAGATGCATACCCTGATGGAACCTTAATGCCATACAGACATTCACAAAACATCCGTTTTTCTACCCTTGACAATGTGTAGCAAGCCCGAGGTAAATAGGTCTTCCCCTCTTTGGCTTTTCCCTCATTTTTCTTCATCAACGCATCCGCGACCTTTCCCTTTCCTTTGCTCTTCCCCTTTCCCTTTTTCGAACCCATTTCTTTTTCCTTTTCCTGTTCCTTTCCCTTACTAACCCTTTGCTGAACCCACAATTCTGGACGCACCCCCATCTTTTCCAAATCTAAACGTGCACCCTTTCCGTCCTTTGTCTTGTTTTGAATATTCATCAGCATTCCCACAAGAGCGTCACACACATTCTTCTCTATATGCATTACATCAAGACAGTGCCTAACGTCATGTTCTTTCCAGTAAGGGAGCAACCAAAAGATTGATTCTTTTTTAAAGAGAGCAACTGATTCCGCCACTTTTTCAGATTTCTTAAATACTGTTCGTACACCCTTAACCCGAGCGTAAACCTCCTCACCAGTCAGTGGCCTAGGAGCAGTCCCCTCTTCCACCGTCGCATCGAAAGCCTTTTTCTGCCGACGGTACGGGTGATCGCGCCTGAGCAACCTTCTTGTCCTCAAATACACCTGTTTGAAAGAATGATCAAGGCGTCTGCTTGGCGTATCATCAATACAAATGGGACATGCCTTTTTCCCTTTATTCTTATACCCAGACAAGTTGCCATATGCAGGAAAATCATTAATGGTCCACATAAGAGTTGCACGCAATGTGAACATCTCATTCTTATGAGCATTAAACACGGAAACCCCTTCGTCCCACATCTCTCTCAAATCATCAACCAATAGCGCAAGATACACATCTATGTCGTTTCCAGGTTGCCTTGGCCCCGATATCAAGAGTGAAAGCATTACATATTTCCGTTTCATGCACAACCAAGGAGGCAAATTGTAGATCACTAAAAGTACCGGCCATGTGCTGTGCTGGGTACTAAGAGTGCCAAATGGATTCATCCCGTCCGTGCACAAACCAAGCCTTAAATTTCTGACTTCATCACCAAATTCCCCAAACTTCATATCAAGGTTCTTCCATTGCGGGGAGTCGGCTGGGTGCTTCAGCATTCTGTTTTTCTTTCTTCCCTCTGTATGCCACCTCAAGTTTTTAGCGTCTTTTGGTAAAGAGAACAGACGCTTAAACCTTGGAATTATGGGAAGATACCACAACACCTTAGCAGGAGGTCCCTTTGTACCAGCATTGCAACTCTTGCGCTTGTAGCGCGAATTCTTGCATCTTGGACACTCCTCTAATTGTTCATATTCATTTCGGTAAAGAATATAATCATTAGGACATGCATGTATCTTCTTATACTCCAAACCAAATGGACACATGAGCTTCTTAGCGTAATAGTAAGACTTAGGAATTTCATTCCCATCGGGCAACATCTCACTTAACACGCTCAACAAGGAAGTAAAACTACTGTCCGTCCACCCATGCTTCGACTTAATGTTAAAAAGAGTTAGCACGGCTGATAGTTTGGAGTATTTTTTGCACCCAAGATACAAAGGCTTTTTAGAAGCCTCCGATAATGACTCAAACACGTCACCTTCAAAACCACGCATCATCTCATCCACACCTTCATCCTCAACCTCATCCATATGATCATCCTCAAATCCCCTCAGCACCATCATCAACAATATGTTCATCATTCTTGTGTTCCTCGTCCACACGGATATCATTGCTTCTATCATCATGCACATCATACCCAATAACATCCCCACTGTACTCTCCTTCTTCACCATGCCAAATCCACACATGATATTTAACCCTAAACCCACGACAAACTACATGATCTCTAATGATATCAACACTATTGACCACCTTCACATTATTACAATCAACACAAGGACAATAGAGGCACTCGAAACCCATTCTGCGCTGATAAGATGAAGCCGTCTCGCAAAACTCTTGAACCCCATTAAAGAATTCCAATGTATCACGTCTACCATACATCCATCCACGATCCTTCTCCATTAAGTAAATTGTCTCTAAACATGGCAACATATTACGA